AGCATGCGAGCAGCAGAATCATCATCAGCACCATGTCATCTTACCTGTGCAAATGAAGCTAACCCTAACTCTAACCCTAACCCTAAGCAAGTATTAAGCCCTACATCGCACCAGGTGATCAATGCCTCATGATAGAAAGCCATACACTGACGCTTTTGGTGAAGGCAAATACGACACGGTGACAACGCTCAAGTGTGCTGTTACATGCACAATGGGAGGCACGTTTGGCACTGACGGCCTGCTGTGAAGCATATCTCAGCATGTTGCATGCATGTCAGTACACGGCAGCGCATCAGAGATTGCGACAGCCAGCACATAAAAGCCAAATGCAAAGCAAGCGCGCATCGAAAATAAATCGTGCTGATTTAACATGAAGGCACAATGGCACAAGGCACTGTAGTTCTCGCAAAGGGTAACCGCTACAGACATGCATGGTGTACAAGGGGGGTATGATCACACAACGACCGTCTACAGTACAAAATGACACGACGTACCATACCACCGGATATCGAGCTGACGGACGACCGCATGGGTCTCTAAAGGAGCACAGGTCTAGTGGTGTGAGCACGGCTCTGGATGAGCAGCCGCTAGTCCAATGCCCGCTTTCTGCTGTGCCAAATGCTGTCCCCCAATCCCCTCCTTGAACGGGACCGCCTGTGGGACACCTGCTGCATCCCCCCCCCCCTGATTTTGTTGCGGCGTGCCATAGTGGCCAAATGAACACTGCGGGCTGCTAGCACCAGCAGCAGCATTCTGTTGAGCAGCTGAGCGGATGCGGAGGCAAACTGGGGCAGTTGGGATGCTGCAGGGGAGGCAATGCTGGCTATGAGCTAGCTGCAATAAAACAAGAGAGGGCACAGCTACGTGCCTGCGGCAGTCTTTGCAATCTCGCAGAAGACACCCTTGAAGCCGTCTGTACACTTGCAGCGCTTGAACGTGCCGGTGTGACCTGAGTACGGGGAGGGGTTGTTGATGCACTTGCCGCCGTGCTTGCAGGTGTGCTTGCGGCACTTGAATGGGTAGACGCACTCCGTGTTTGTGACATCGCTCAGACCGTTAAACGCCGGCCTGCACACCTGCTTTGGCAGGCAACACCGGTCGTTGCCCCAGCGGTCCTTGAGACGCGCGCGGCCGCACGGCACGTCACATGTTGAGCATATGCTCTTGTAGTCCCCAGACGGCAGGTCTACCAAGTAACAGTGCTTGCCTTTCGGGCAGCATGTGTCATTGGCAGTGTCCACCCCGTCAACCCTCCCCCTGCCGCAGGGGGTTTCGCCCTCCTTAGGACAGGCTTTCTTCGCAACGCACTTGGTGGCTGCAAATTTAGAGCTCTTGTCTGTCACGCACAGCATGTCTGGGGGACAGCAGACCTGCTCCACGGACTGGCCGAAGACGGTCATGGCAAAGGTGCTGCTGTTGCACGCCGTCGTGTCGCCCTCGCAGTACTTGTAGGACTCGCAGGCCGTACCGAAAGTGCCGTCCGCTTGAAGCGCTGTGGCCCGGCAAGTTGTCCCCTGAAAGAGCGGGCAGCACGTCGTGTACACCGACACCTGCCGCGGGCTGTACAGGTTTGTGCCCGGTATCCACCGCGCGCCGCACAGCTCATCGCGGTGCTTGCACTTGGCACCCTTGAGCTTGCCGGCTCCGTGATCTTTGCCTGTGTTTACGCCCTCACCGTGCGCGCCAGTGTCCGTGCCGCCCTTGCCTCCTCCCTTCCCTCCTGCTTTACCGGGCCCCTTGCCCCCGCGCTCCGCCTTCCCTTTGCCGTGTGTCCCGCCTCCTGTTCCGCCTCCCTTTTTGCGTCTGCGCGCCGCCTTGCCTTTCCCCCGCCCCCCGCCACCCGCGTTGTCCCCCCCTCCCGCCCGCTCTACCTCGCCCTTGTGCTTCCCCGCGCCGTTGCGCTTGCCGCCTGCTTTGGGCTTGCCTTCGCCTGTGGGTTTGCCGCTGCCTTTGCGCTTGTCGTCGGCCTTCTTGCGCTTCCCCTTGTGCTTCTCCTTTGCTTTGTGCTTGCCCTTCGCTTCGTGCTTGCCGTCGCCTCTGGCCTTGCTGTCCTCCTTGGTTTTGCAATCCGCAAGCGCTTGCGTGATGCGGAGAGCTGGCGCCTCAGGAATGCATGGAGGCGTGCCACACAGGACCTCTGAGCTGAGGATCGCTGCCTGACAGCACAATGCTGCGCTGCCAGGAAAGCGGCTGCCGCACTTCTCGCCGCCGCAGGTGCCGCATCTGCGCAAAAGCAAACCAAATTGGTGAACTGAGGCCAGACAAGAAATAAAGAATGCGCAGATCCACGCACGATGATGTGGAGAGCTTGCAAGAGAAATGCTACCAACTTGCCATAGGAACCTCAGCCTCCCAGCGCAACTGGCATGCGCCAGGGTGAGTTGCGAATGATTCAACCAAAAAGAATGCCTCCACGGTAACTGTAGACTGAACTACCTTGCAGGACAGCACACAGTCTGGTCGGTGCTGTAGATCCCTGTCTGGTCAGCCCCACAGGCCTCCACGCCATTTGCTGCTCTGCCTTCGCCCAGCACGCAGCTGCACCAGTGCGCCACCATCAGAAAAGCCGCGATGCGTGCCCACATCGTGGCAGGGAGAGAAGCGAAATGGACGAATAACCTCGTTCCCTGTCAATCAGTCGCTGGAGGCGGCTGCTGCTGCATCAGCTGAGGCCTGGGAGGCACACACCGTTTTTGAAAAAAAAAATGGAAGTTGGCTTTTCTGCGAGACGGAACGTGAAGTAACGCGACGTTGACTGGGGCAAGCAGTGGAAGGGGTCAGGCAGGGGGGGCTAAAGCCTCCCTATTCGCCGCTGCGCACCGAGTTCGCCCGCTACTCTTAAGCTTGGGACCTGGGAAAGCTATGCTGTACCGTACACAAGGGTCCTCAACGTTCGAGTTGAGCCGCGTGCAGACAGGATCATATCCAAAAGTTAGCAAGCCCCTTGCCTAGACGAGCAAGCTTGTAAACATACGCTGCAAAAAGGTAGCGCTTTCTAAAGAGAGCAAAACTGCTCGCAAAGCAACGTATTTGTTTTTAAAAAAACCCACACACCTATTTCAGTTCAACCTGCACACAATTGTAATTCAACCTCCCCTCACCCTGAGACAACACACGTATGCCAAGGGCTCCTAGCGCGGGGACTGGCCGCTGTGCACCAGCGTTAAAAAGTGGCGTTGATGTCATGGTCTACTCATGGTCTATGTACTCTGGCGAGCTCACTGCTGCTGCGGAATCATCGCGGCAGTGCTCCCTAGGCGCAACTCTGCGACTGCGCGCTGAGGTGACATTCGCACCAGTACTGCATCCTGCTTCAAGTCTGCACGTATCAAACTATACAATACGTACCTGTAGCAGATGTGCGGAATCTGTTTTAAAGTTAATGCACTTTGGTTGTCCACGCGCAGCTAGCTTCGCCTAGCGCGTCAATGGTGTGCAGTGGAATCCTGTGCATGGCAAGGCGCGACACCATCTGACATCCTCACCTTCACAGAGCGCATAACCGCCCCTGTGCGCAGATAACGTGGCATAAAATTCCTGTCGTCTTGCTGCGCTTTCCCCAATCTTTACTCTTGGGTCCTGAAGGTCCGGCGGCGGCACACTTCTGGTAGGCATAGACGTGACCTCTGGGTGCAGGCGCTCCTGTGGGTGCCCTATCAGGCAGCATGTATGGCGTGTTGTCGACGAGGCGAGCAAGGCGCTGAGCCTTGTGTCGCTCACTGAAAGAATCAAGCAGGGCAGCGCTCAGCTCGTCCGACCAGCCTGAGTCAGTGAGCTTGAAGCACGTGCGTTGCCTGCCCAAAGCAAGTATCAGCGCACCGTCAGCCTCAGCAACACTTATTAGTAGCCCAAGTAAGTTGATGTGCAAAGACAAGCAGCACAGTGTCACGTACAGTAATACGCGACACCGCCAGCTTTGACCAGACTGAGTGGGATACCACTGGTAGCACATTGCTGCAGTGCGAATCAGGGCTGAGCGTCAAGAGACCGTGATGCCCATTTGCATAGGTGGCGGTACACACACGCACCACCGCCAGGTGCAGAGCCAGGATGTGTAGTACCACAACGTCGTGTGCGCACTATCAACAATGATGACGGTCCACGAGCAGCCAAGCATCATATGCGTAACACTCCTGGCTTCCAACGCCAATGGGCGCGCAGCACCCGGCTGCCTGTGCGCACAGCCGCCAGCTCAACAAGCAGCCGTGACACAAGGAAGTGTCGCTTCATGCATGCCTGGTAGCTTCTGAAGCAATGGATGATGCATCATGACCTTTATGCATGCTAGCGCTGGCGTTCAAGTTGGTGGGCGGCAAAGCGCGTGTGTGCGCCGCTCCCATCTGTATAGACCGTGTCACAATTTGCATGTACACATGTGCCTCCACTTGCACCAGCTGCAGACTCTGAGTATGGCGGTGTGCTTGGTGCGCCACCGCCGGTCCTAATGGGCAGCATTGGGTAAGTGCGCAGCTGTATCATGCAATTGGTTGCAATGATTGCGATCCATGAGCAGCCAAGCATCATATGGATAACGCTCCTGGCCTTTAACGCCAATGGGCGCGCAGCGCCCGGCTGCCTGTGCACAGTCGCCAGCTCAATAAGCAGCAGCGGCACAAAGAAGTGTCACTTCGGCAACAGCCATGCATGTATTCATGCAAGCTTTCGAGCTTCTGAAGCAATGGATGATGACCTTTATGCACGCCAGCGCTGGCGTTGGTGGGCGGCAGACTGAGCGCACGTGTGCGCCGCTCCCATCTGTATAGACCATGTCACAACTTGAATTTGCATGTACACCATGTCATGTGCCTCCACTGCACCAGCTGCAGAGTATGGCAGTTTGCTCGTGCATCACCGCCGGTCGTAATGGGCCGCATTGGGTAAGTGCGCGGCTGTATCATCAATGATCACAATCCATGAGCAGCCAGCATCATATGCGTATTCAAGTTCAAGTAATATTGGCATATGTATAGAAGAGCAATACTGACTCAACAGACACACCAGGGTTGGTAGCTCAGTGGTAGAGCGTTCGATTGCAGCTCGAATGGTCACGTGTTCGACTCACGTCCGACCCTTAAAATCCTTTTTCATTTTTGCCCCACCTGTGCTGAGCAGTGACACGTGGAACGTTATCTGAATGTAGAAGAGTGGATTATCACATGCCCGAGATACTTTTTCTTTTCAAAAAATCAATTTTTAAGGTCCTGACATGCTACTTCTGCTATTTTTGCCGGTATTCTGCGGCATGACTCGCCATCCTCTGTGTAACTTGAAGGCTCATACTGAGCAGTGAACATCGCTCGTAGCACGGAGACGAATGAACTCACTCTTCAAGTGCCATGTATGCACCGGTGAAGTGTTGCGCACTCAGTCTGCTGCCTGAAGAGCGCACTGCTATTGAAAAGGCCGGCAGGCCTAGGCTAGACTCTAAACTTGTCAATGAGTTGACTGCAATAGAGTCTTGCACTTCATGCATGCCATACAGTGTAAGGACTGCTCTCAAAAGCACTCTCAGATAACAGAAGATATTGGCGGCAACCGCATGCAGGTTATCGTATCTATAGACATGTAGCAGAATCCGAGTCGGCTCGAGGATCCTGACAAAACAACCTCGCAGATGTGACCAGAGACTCAAATGAGGTGGAGGCGGCAATGCACCTCGCATGGGGGGCAGTCCTGCCGACCGCTCAGCAAGTTTCTGATGTATGTACAATTGTCCGTGGCCAGAGGCACAGCGCAGCGATTGCTATGCCGTTTTAAGCAAATGTTGGCAAGCGCTGTACCGCCGCGCATATGCCATATAAATCACAGCAACATATGTATACTGCAAGTAGGTATGTCAGGGATCGTCTACTCAAAGTCAGCGTGCTGCACCGAGGTGGTGGTGAGGTTGCAGCAGATGACGATCACGGCTGAGGCCCAACAAATGCGATGAACATCATTGATCTTGCACACTGACATCATGCAGTGGCGGAGTTATGACCATTGAACTACAGATCATCATGATGAGCAGGACACACACCTGCAGAAAGTGCAGACGCGCGATATGCCCAAAAACCGCGTTACAACAATCACCGCCTATAGCCGCTTGCTGCACAGTGCAAGCTGGAACAAACACCGCCTCCAGCTGCCAGCGTATGAGCCTCACAATAGCAGCCTTAGCTGAGCCCTGCCCAAATTCGGCGGCAGCAGCTGGTGCACACCTGCTGGCCAACTGGGCTCCTCATACAGCAACAACCGTTGTGACAATACCCCCCCCACACACCCCCCTCTATTCAGGACAGTCTCATGTGCGAGCAGTCCATGCTACTGTAGTCGTGTCAGTGCACGCCGCTCTGCTGTTGCATCACACTGGCTGCCAGGGGCATTGGTGCTGGTCATGTCAGTGCACGCCGCCCTGCACCATGTCAATGCACGATGCCCCCCCCCCCCCCCCAAACTTGCGGCGCTCTTGTGTGCGTACAGTCCATGCCGGCCGTGGCATTGCATGCCACTTTGCTGCCGTATCATACACCTACATCGACGAGTGCGACGCAGGCAATAGCGCTGCGGGCAAGGTGCACTCCTCGGAGACAGTGGCAAAATGGCAGAATTTACCATGGCTGCAGCGCGCTTCAACATCGAGGGTTCCACATCAACGGCACGGCGCACTGCATGCACTCACTGGCAGAGGCTCACAGCCGGACAGCCAGATATTCTGGCTCTGGCAGAGTTATGGCGGATGCACGTGGTACCTCACAAAGCGCGCGCAGCCACAGTTGATAACGGCAACTGGAGTAGGCTGCAGGAGCCTGCCAGTGAGGTCACCGGATCTCTTGGTCAGGAGCTGCCTGCAGACTCTCCGGAGGCGAGAACTTCAATTGAACAAGTTACAGTTTGAAAACCCTCTGCCAGTAGGCGAGGCAGTAAGCCGGAATGCTGCGGTGCATCCGTTATGAGAGCCTTGCAATGCAAGGCGGGTGCTTCGTCCACATCTGCCCTATGTCGATTGTGTTGAGTGGACGCTGAAGTGTCACCTGCGACTGTTGCATGTCCTGGCAGTTACAGGATCATCATTCCTTTGTCAGTCACCATTTGTTTTTGCTGAGACGAGAGCAGCAGCCCCCCATGATACACATAGCACAGTACGGTCAGCTGTGTTGTGTGTGTGGGTCTCGATAGCATTGTTCCCTGCACTAAGTCTTGCTGAAGTCAATACGCCGCGCACGCACCAGTGGCACTTTGGAGTGCTGCGGCAGTAGCGACGTGTGCGAGCGCAGCGCAAGCTGCAGCGAGCGCAGCTTCTATGGTGACGGCGAGCGCCGCCCAAGCGGCTGACGCGCAGCAGAGCGCTGTGATGGCAGTGGCAAGCTCAGGCGCCGTGCCAGTCGCGGCACGTATTGCTAGCGATGTGGCAGCGCCGGCCCGCGCTGGGCGCGGACAAGCGGCGCAGCGGCCCGGGAGTGTTGCGCCAGCGGCGGTGCTGCCAGATGCAGCGCCCATTCATGCAATTGCGGCATTTGCGGCGGGCGATGCCCATTCAACAGGAGCGCCATGTGAAGGTGCGGCAGCGGCAGCGCATGGCAGCGGCGCGCAGCTTGCGGCGAGCGCTGCTGCTTTGGCGGCGCCAATGAGCGCCGCGTATGCTGCAGTAGCAGCACCATGACCACAGAGCGCTGCGGCGGCAACGGCACCTTTGGGCGCTACGTTGGCTGCGGTGCACACGGCTACTGCGGCGGCGCGGGTGAGCGCCGACCACACAGCAGAGCGTTATGACGGCAGCAGCAGCACCAGCGGACGCAGCGCAGCTTCAGAATTTGTTGAGCGCTGCTGCTGCGGAGGCGACAACGAGCGCTGCTGTTGCAGCGACAGTGCGATGAAGATTGGCACAGGTGGCGGCGCCTATGGTGCTGCGCAGTTGTTGGCGACGATATCTACTTCTGTACAGTGATGGTGACGCAAGTCCAGTGGGGTGACGCAAGTCCAGCGGCATGCGGCTATGCACGCGCGGACCGCGTGCAGCAGGAGCAGCGCGCTGCAAAGCCGGTGGCACCCCTCAGCCCAAATCAGGAGCTTGGTACTTCAGCACAGAGGCCGTGGCATGATGACGCTGCAGGGGGCCATGGCGTCGGTGCGTATGCACCATCGCAAGGGGGGGTGAGGATACCACCAGCGTTACCAGTGAGTAGCTGTAGCATGGCTACAACTGCAACTTCTGCGCCGGCAACGGCGCCACATTTGGCGAGTCGACTGCAGCAGCTGCTGCGACGTCACACACAACAACTCCGAGTCCATCTTTTACACCGACTTCAACTTTAACTATAACCCCCCACAAACCTCAAGGTCGCCCTCACCACCATTCAGCGGGGGCGACGCTGCTGCTAGGCTGATAGCTCTGCAGCGGCTTCATGCTTCAAAGGTGGATGGCACGGCTCAACCTGAGCCGCAGCGGCGGATACCCAGCTCGGCGTCGGCGGCAGCGACTCTTGGCGCCATTGATGCGGTGCTGGACGGCAAGGCGGGCCTGACAGCGTTGGAGATAGCCATGGCAGAGGAGGCGTGCGCTGTTGAGCGCTGCTTAAAAATTCAAGATACGTGTCGTAATCATTTTAATTGATACAGCCGTGCACTTACCCCACGCTGCCCATTAGGACCGGCGGTGGCGCACGAGCACGCGGCCATCCTCTGCAGCTGGTGCCAGTGGCCTCCGAGGCGCATGACATTGTGTGCATGCAATTCGTGATCACACGGTCTTTACAGATGGGAGCAGTGCACACACGCGCTCCGTCTGCCGCCCACCAATGCCAGCGGTGGCGTGCATAAGGGTCATTGCCTATTGCTTCAGAAGCTTGCAAGCATGCATGAATACATGCATGGCCATTGCCGAAGTGACACTTCCTCGTGTCACTGCTGCTTGTTGAGCTGGCGGCTGTGCGCCTGCAGCCGGGCGCTGGGCGCGCCCATTGGTGTTGGAAGTTTGGAAGCCCGAAGTGTTACGCGTATGATGCTTTGCTGCTCATGGACCGTAATCATTGGTGATAGCGCACACGTCGTTGTAGTATCCATCCTACATAGCTCTGCACCTGGCGATAGTGCATATGCGATCCGGCACCCATGCAACTGGATGTCCATGGACGCTCAGCCCTGATGCGCACTGCAGTAATGTCACGGTGCTGCCAGTGTAATACTACTTGCCCCTCTTCATTCTGGTTGAAGCTGGCGGTGCCGCGTATGTGCGTGAGCAAACATAAGTGGCATACAAGTCATAATGGCAGTGGGCCCACATACGTGTATGCATATATGCCATGGCGTTCATCAACAGAGCCTCTCACCTCCAGCTTCAGTCCCAAAGTCCCAGTGTACACCTACGCAAAGGGGCGCGGTTGGGTGGCAGTTACTTAGTAGTGCGCGTCTCAACAGAGGTAGATTCACTTGGCAAAGCGCGTGTGTGCGCCGCTCTAATCTGTATAGAGTCTATAGACCGTGTCACAATTTGCATGTACACTATATCATGTGCCTCCACTGCACCAGCTGCAGAGTATGGCGGTATGCTTGGTGCGCCACCGCCGGTCCTAATGGGCAGCATTGGGTAAGTGCGCGGCTGTATCATCAATGATCACAATCCATGAGCAGCCAGCATCATATGCGTAACACTCCTGGCCTTTGACGCCAATGGGCGCGCAGCGCCCATCGGCGTTGGAAGCGCCCGGTTGCCTGTGCGCACAGCCGCCAGCTCATGTTGCAACAAGCAGCCGCGACAGTGTCGGACACGAGGAAGTGTCACAGTATCACTTCGGCAACAGCCATGCATGCATTCATGCATGTGTGCGAGCTTGAAGCAAATGGATGATGACCTTTATACACGCCACCGCTGCCGTTGTTGGGCGGCAGACTGAGCGCGTGTAGGCGCCGCTCCCATCTGTTTGTATAAAGTGTGCAAATTCAATGTCCACATGCGCCTCCATGGCACCAGCTGCAGAGCATCGCGGTGTGCTCGTGCGCCACCGCCGGTCCTAATGGGCAGCATTGGGTAAGTGCGCGGCTGTATCATGCAATTGATTGCAATGATTGCGATCCATGAGCAGCCAAGCATCATATGGATAACACTCCTGGCCTTTAACGCCAAGGGCGCGCAGCGCCCGGCTGCCTGTGCACAGTCGCCAGCTCAATAAGCAGCAGCGGCACAAAGAAGTGTCACTTCGGCAACAGCCATGCATGTATTCATGCAAGCTTTCGAGCTTCTGAAGCAATGATGATGACCTGTATGCATGCCACCGCTGGCGTCGGTAGGCGGCAGAGTGAGCGCGTGTGTACGCCGCTCTCATCTGTATAAAGTCTAGACCGTGCCACAATTTGCATGTACACAATGTCATGTGCCTCCACTGCACCAGCTACAGAGTATGGCAGTTTGCTCGTGCATCACCGCCGGTCGTAATGGGCCGCATTGGGTAAGTGCGCGGCTATGGCAGTGCCACAGTCGGTGTGTTTGCATGGCAACATGCCTGGGGCAGTGGCTCAGGGTGTGCGGAGTGCAGTGTGCAATACTACCAGTGTAAGTGTGCAACAAAGCGCACAAAAGCTCATGTAATGTTGGCATGATGGGTATACAGACGCAACACTGCCTGTGTTGTCGAGATGTTCTGTGTATTGCAATGCATGCGACACTGTCTGATATCCTCAGGTCTACAGAACGCATTACCGCCTCTGTGCGCAGACACCTTACACATGGCATGATATCATGTGACTGCCACCAATTGTGCTCTCCTGGAATTGATTTGAAACCGTTTGGGAAATCAAATCCTGGAGGCCGTGCAGCGGCGCACTTTTGGCAAGCATAGATGTGACCTCTGGGTGCAGGCGTTCCTGTGGCTGCTTTACCAGGCAGCATGTAAGGCGTGCTGGCGCTGAGGCGAGGAAGGCGCTGAGCCTCCGGGTGGTGTCGTTCACTGAAAGAATCGAGCAGGCAGTGCTCAGTCTGCCCGACCAGCCTCAGGCTGCCAGAGCCGGTGAGCTTGAAGCATGCGTGTTGCCCACTCAAAGCAAGTATCAGTCCGCCTCAGCAACACTTTGGCAACGCGGATTTGTTGAGACAAGCAGCACACTCACGCGGCACCGCCAGCTTCCACCACACTGCGCGGGGGTGGCACTCAGTCTGGCAGCACATTGCTGCAGCTGTGCGATATTAGGGGTGAGCGTCAATGGACACCCAGTTGCATGGGTGGCTGTACACACACGCACCACCGCCAGGTGCAAAGCTAGGATATATAGTGCTACAATGGCGTGTGCGCGCCATGATGATCATCAGGGTCCACGGGCAGCTGTGCGCAACACGCCTGGCTTCAACACTCCTAGCTTGAATGCATTGAATACCATGACCGGCGTGCATCCAGGCGTATCGGCATCTGTACAACATCGTCCTGCCAAGATCGCCATTGTCACAGTGGTGACTGGGTGGTGTCGCAGCTCACAGTGGTCACTGTTCAGGTGTGAGGAACATCTCCAGTTCTCCCGGTGGGCCACTTACAGCGTTAAGCCTGCGAGTGTTGCCTTGAGAGGGTAGCGGCGCTTGCAAGTACTCTCTCCAGAGATACCAAGTGCCATGGCGCCGGTAAACGTGGCGGTCCAAAAGCAGACACAAGCACACATGCAGCTGCTGAGTACTGCTGCCATTCAACTTGAGGCGACCGTTGACAAATACACAACCCTTGAATTATATAGCCCTCAGGCTGGCCACCTGTAACAGTTGACAAATATGTACAGGCACAACTCTCGAAAATTAGCCCTGGCCACCTCAAGGCACTGCACGCTATGTCCTGCCAATGCACATTCATCATCCTAATGCACACTCACATGCGGCTTCACGACACCAGCAACGCCCGGCGGCCTACGCGCGCCACGCGATGCCAGGTGGGTGCCACAGTGGCCACCGACCCAAGGAAGTGTCGGTGCGGCAACACTCAACCTTCAAAGGAAAATGGCTTGAAAATTTTCTGCACGCAACTGCTGGCTTTGGTGGGCAACAGCGCATGTGCGCGCCGCTCTCATCTGTACAGCCAACGATGTACATGTGCTGCTACCAACAACCGTGAAGCTTCAAACGCAAACAGCTGTTTGCACGCCTCTGCTGGCTTTGCGGGGCAACAGCGCATGTGTGCGCCGCTCACATGTGTACCGACAACAACTTGAATGTATATTTCGAAGTATATGCCGCCACCGGCTGCAACGGATGTCGATGTGCTTGCGCGCCACCGCCGATTCGCGAATCAATGGGCAGCATCACGCGTGTGTGCACCGCCGCAGTACCACAAGTGACTGCCAGCTGCATGAGTTTACGAGGGTGTACGCATGTGTATATTTGTATGCCGCAGGCATGGCAGGGTTCATCAACAGAACAGTCGCTCGCCCACCCGCCGGCGCCTGCTTCAACTTGAACAGCGCATAGGTGTTGCACGTCTTGGTGGTGTGCTGTTCATGCGCTGCGATGAATGACTTCATGAAATATCAACATGTCATCAATAACCATAATGTTGAATGAAATGTAGCCTAATTTGATTCTTGCAGATATGCTGCCACATCATGGCATTAGCTTCAACTTGAACTTCCGTGTTCAATTGCTGCAATGGAAATTTGCACCCGTGATTCATACTGGTCAGGCACTGCAGGTCACACGTTGCTAACTTGATGTTGGTGGCATCAGAAGCCCCAGAGGCTCGCTCATGAAGAAATGAAACAAAAGCTCTTGTTATAAAGCAACACCGGAATTTGGCAGAAGCAGAAGCTCTTCACTGGCACTGCATGGCATGCTGGGCATTCTGCCTTCAATGCGGGGCTGTATAATTCTGCCAGTGGTGAAGGCCGCAGCCGCAAAACATTTTGTGTACTCGAAATATATACTTCACGTGTGCATAGGACACGCCGCCCTCCTTGGGGCCTTTATGAGCAACTACAAGTCCACAAACACTTGAGAAGTGTACCATCATGATAAATGCCCGAGTAAACACGTTTAGGGTTAGGGTAACTGACTCCAACCATAGGCCGGATATTCTACCTTTAATGGCTGCGTTAGGTGCACCATGTTCTTCAAGAGGCCGCAGCAGCAAAACACATGTTATCTCATGTGCTTCAGCAGTATATGGTTCAAAGAGTTTGCATGACGGCCCCTGACCAGCCTGAGCCCCTCCAGTTTTTATTGAGTGAGCCAGTGGCAAGGCAATGAGACCACCATGACTCCTTGCATTGCATTTGCCTGTACTAGTACGACTTGTAGGCTATCATAATCATTATGTCCTCATCGCCAAATCAAATCGGCTTGCAGAGCCTGTTGGCTAGGAACAGTAATGCTCGTTGATACAGAGGCTCTATGGCACACTTTGCCCCGGAACAAAGTTTAGCTTATAACGCCGCCTGTAGCTGATGTCATGGTCTAATACAATGATTTGTGCTGGACAGCGCCATGGTCGCGATATACGCCATGGCAGTGGGGGTGCGGCAATTGTTGTGAGCAAATGACTCTCTGGTTCAACCAGCGCAACAAAATTGCAGCCCGTAGTACTAGCGACATGCTCTTAACTACCGTATGCACGCACAATGTCATGTTAACATAGTCAGCATTGTTCAGCAGCAAAATGGACGCCCAGTTTTGTCAATATAAGGCATATAGGTATACCTCAGGCTTTACAACACATACACCGCATCTCGGTGCCTGTGCGACGCAGTGTCGATACAACGCATCTCGGTAACTGTACGACACATTCAACGAAGCATCTCGGTAGTACCTGCACGACACTGTGTGTACCGGCATATGCAAAGTGTCATGTAGGGTTTCCGCCCCTCACGCGGAAGTATATTAAAATACATAAAGTACAGGTACCGATACGTTGTACCGACTACACGGTGTCGTACACAGGCGTATTCAATTTACAGGTACCGAAATGCGTGGTATGGACAATACCTGAGCGCACACAGTAGAACAGCGCAAAACGGGCAGAGGCAGGCTTCAACTGCGCTCTATCGCAGCAGCTGCGTCGCAAGATCTCTGCCAGAAAGCTGCAGATAGGCAACAGCAGCGACACCATGGATACAGATTCCATGCCACGTTGCGATGCTGCCTTCGCGCTGCTCCCATGAGCATACATGCACGCATCAACAGCGCCCATGCGGTAATATGTGCCAGGAAGCGCGGATATCATACACCGTGACGGTGTATGATGCTTCATGTACCGGTGAGGAGTGCTAGACGGCGATGAAGTTGCCGGCTGCTTGCATGTCCGTTCAGAACATGCAAGAAGCGGCGCGCAGTATCCAGCAACGTGCGCAGCGCGTGCCCGACTCGCGCCGCGCCCACGCCCACGCCCACACATGCCATCAGTGAGCAGCCAAATTCCTCTGCCAGCAGTGCTGCCCCCCATGCACGTTCAGAGAATGGAGGAAGTGGCTGCAACGCGCTCTCAGACATCCAAGGGGTCGCCATAGACGGCGATGGTTGAGTTGCTGCCGGTGGACACGTGCTCAAACTGGTTCACTTCAAGCTTCTGCTGTCCGTTCAGAAGGTGAAAGAAGTGGCCCAGTGAGCTATTTACATACTCAAGCTGTATCACTAGGTAGCAATAGTAAGGGGGTAGGTAGGCCCCAGGCAAGCGGGCATCCAGAATATGGGGCATGCGTTGTTGACCGAAGCCTAATCTGCCATGTCGCGTTCAAATTTGGACTACAAAATTCTCTCCGCAATCATACTTCAAGTTCAACTTTGTGTGGCACTACCCCGTGCGCCATTATTTCCTCCGCGACCTCCCCACGCGCCTTCATGTCCTAGCCCCAAGTCTATTGCTACATAGTCCCAAGCACTGATTTAAACTTATTGCATGGTGGTTCAAGATCATGTGCACCGCAACTGCCAACAGCACAAGTGTTAGGGTTAGGGTTAGGGTTGGGGTTTCAAAAGGCGCGCCTGTTGAAACGTGCGAAACCCACACATCAGCTTCATCACCAGCACCACTTTCGCAGTGCTCTCGCTTGGGGTACGTTCCATGCCCCAAGTGCCTGTCAGAGGCCGATGCATGTGCCTCGCAAAACAAAAAAAAACTCGATTCGGTAGCTCAGCGGTAGAGCGTTCGATTGCAGCTCGAATGGTCACGCGTTCAAATCGCGTCTGAATCTTTATCTTTTTCTTCCCAAACCTGTCACAGTCATGAGGTATACGTATCTTCTTTTTTTCGTTAATCGCCTCCAGGGGGCGGCGCGAAGACCCCTCTAATTATGGATTGGATGTGTGAAGCCCCCTCTATTTATGAATTGGGTGTGCACTCAATGCACTGTAACACTCCTTCTCCGAACAAAGAGTCAACCCCCTCCAGTTCCCCTCTGCACGCTACCACCAACACCCCACCACCAAACCCTACTAAGAATCTTCTTGATCTGCAGTTCCTGCGAAACACACTCAGTCTTGTCCATCTTGGAGAATCTTTGCAGGCTGGGGCACCTTTGACAGTGCCCAGAACTGTGGACCATCATGATGGTGATACGTCTGAATGGCCTCTACGCAAAGTGATCGCTGGGCACCAATGCCTGGTGCCAAGGGTATCGATGCTGCCGCACCATGGTGCATTGCAATGGGCTGTCCGACTGGCCTATGCCAGCAGAGCCCATCCATACCGCACTTGGTCTCTACTATCATGCTGCACCAAGTGCCTTAGCTACCGCCTCTCCACAACCAGACCAACTTACAAGTTTGAGGTCTCTCGTAGCTACTGTAGTACACGCTGGTCGAATCCAGCGACTTAATGGCGGCAAAGTACTACATGTACATACGCGCTTAATGAGGGCAGCACGCACACAGTGGAGCACATGTAGCACACTGTGGCACATGCGGTCACCCTGTCATTGACAAGCAGGCGCCGCCGGGCATCCATCGTGATCAAGGCGTGCAATTGCCCATGAACACTGCCACTATCATAATGGCCCACGCGCCATGCATATGCATGCACATGTGCATCGGCACACCCCAGGCCACTGGGCCAGGCATGCTGCCAGTGCAATCACATGTGCAGACACTGTGGCACTGCCGCAGCCGTGCACTCACCCAATGCTGCCCATTACTAGTAGGACCAGCAGTGGCGCACCGAGCACACTGCCATCATGATCCTCTGCAGCTGGTGCCAGCGGAGGCACATGTGTACGGTCAATTTGTCACACGGTCTATACAGATGACAGCGACGCACCCACGCGCTCAGTATGCCGCCCACCAACGCCAGCGGAAGCGTGCGTAAAGGCCATCATCCATTATTTCGTGAGCTCGCAAGCATGCACGCATATATGTATACATGCATGGCTGTTGCCAAAGTGACACTTCCTTGTGTCGCTGCTGCTGATTGAGCTGGCAGCTGTGCGCACAGGCGGCCGGGCGCTGCCGCCCATTGGCTTTGGAAGCCATGAGTATTGCGCATAATATTATGATGCTGGCTGCCCATGGATCATAATCATTGATGATACAGCCACGCACTGACCCAATGCTGCCCATTAGGACCGGCGGTGGCGCACGAGTACACCGCCATGCTCTGTACTGGTGCCAGCGGAGGCGTATGTGTGCATGCAAATTCAAGTTGTGACATGGTCTATACAGATGGGAGCGGCGCACACATGCGCTCAGCCTGCTACCCACCACTGGCAATGCCAGCGGTGGCGTGCATAAAGGTCAGCAAGCATGCATGGCAGCTGTTGTCGAAGTGATGCCGTGACTTCCTTGCATCCCTGCTTACTGAGCTGATGGCTGTGCGCACGGGCAGCCGGGTGATGCCGCCCACTGGCTTTGGAAGCCAGGAGTGTTGCCCATATAACGTACTTGCTGAACGCTGCTGCTCATGGATTGTAATCATTGATACTAGCGCGCACACGCCGTCACGGTCGTGGCAAGCGTCCTACTAGCTCTGCACCTGGCGGTGGTGTGTATGTGCACCCTTCACACCAGTGGACACTGGCGCTCGACACAAGTCCTGGTGCGCAATGCAGCAATGTGCGGGTGCCGCCACTCACTGGCAGTCTGGTTGAAGCTGGCAGTCACTGTGGTGCGCACACCATCACGCGCTGTGTTGCTACCGGTGTTTTTTTCCACATATCAACGTAGTACGTGGCCTAAGTGTTGCTGAGGCAAACGCTGCGCCGATAGCTTGCCTTACGTGGGCAATGTGCATGCTTGAAGCTTACTGACAGGCTGGTGAAGCGGGCGGTGAGCGTCGGCATGCGTGCGGGGACAATTATCATGTGTAATGTTGATGACAACAGAAGTGTGTACTCAATACAGATGCCATCAGTGTGCAGGTGAGCAGCATGTTTTGAGCGTGTTGACCGTGACAATACATTTTGCATTGTCTGGATAAAAGCTAGCCCGAAATCCTGCTAGTTCATCGAAACCCTAGCACCAGAGCTGGGACAGCCTAAAGTCTAGCCTGGCCGCGTTAAGCCAAGGATGAAGTACAGGCATCACAGTACAAGTGTGGTGTCTGTAACGCCAGCTGCAGCCCCCCCCTCCCCTCAGTTTGCTGGTGTTCTGTCTAGGAAGTTGGGCTCACCAGCTCTGGTTGCCATCATGATGGCCATCATTGCTGTTGATGCCTGCAGATGAAGAACAGCCCGTCCCGCAGCATTGTGGAGCTCATTGACCTGCAGTAGTGGGGGGGGAGGTGGGGGCCAAGGAGGGTTGGGCATAGGATCTGGACCTGAATTGGTATTAAGTCTCTATGTTAGCCCCAAAAACATATGGAGCCTGCTGACCTGGTGGCGCACCTGGCACTGGCACAGTACCGCCAGACTGCAAAGGCAAAAACTGCTGGCAGCAACAATGCCATATCCAACAACGACCAGCGTGATAGCAGGCAGAATGCTGAACTTGTTTGATATCCACACGTCGTGATGTAGGGATCATGAAGGATCTGATCCTTTCAACTCTGATTTAATGAGCGGCACCAGGGACTGCAGCAAAAGCTGACTCGACTGAGGCCGGCCGGCCCAGTTCGAGGTGTGCCACGCGTGTGCAGCCAAGCAGAAGTAATGCACAGGGGCCACAGTGCATACCTGTGCGAATGGCAGCCCCATGTGCGCATCCAAAGCATCAACCAGCTCGTCGTCACGGCTGGCCACCTCCGCAGCGATCGCTGCTGCGCTGGTGGCGGTCATGTGCGTTTTCCGCAGCAGCAGCGGCGTCTGCGGCAGCGGCAGCATTGTTGATGCACACTCTGCCGCCATTGGCAGGATGCGTTGCCGCGGCGCCAGTCCTCCCAACCCCAGCTGCCATTGATCTGGCATCAGTGGCGTCGAGCGCCACCTGCTGATGAGGGACGTCGGTCGGCGTGCAGCGGCACAACTGTGGCATCGCTCTTGTGCTGCTGGTTGGCGAAACGCACACGGGCGGCGCTGCCGGTCTGCAACGTGCGCGTGCGTTACATCCGAGAATGTCATTGTCCACGTGGCCGTACATGTGCTGCGTGTCTGCACGACAGCGCATGCATTGCAGTAGCGTCACCAGAACATCCCGCGAGAGCCATGCGGTGCTGCGGAGTGCTGCTAAGCATCTCTGTCATGCAAGTGCTGCCATGCGGGAGCGCACAGCCGCGCTGTTCTGCCTGCGCGGCTTATGTGCCACAAGTACCACCTGACAAGTCATGTGGCACCCCACGTCTTAGCAAATAAATCCAATGATTTTGAGTGATGCGCTTCCATCACAATCATGCATCTGCCGTAAGCCGAGTATTAATTCAGCGTCGCTCATGTATCGATCCTTGGAACACAGACCATGAAAGGAAGAAACAGAGGTTACTTCTGACCTGATCTTCCTGACCGTCGACATGCAGACCGCAGCGTTCACGCTCAAGGCAAAGCTCCTCTACAACTTGTCATCCTTCTGCCGCATCACGGCCTTCGCCTTCAGCAACTGCATCTGTGCACATGCGCAAATGGCAGTTGTCACTTTTCAGCATGCTCAACAATGGGCGCTAAGGGCGTGCCTAGCCCGTTGTTTCCTGGCATAGTCAAGTGGGTGCAGACTACCTTGAGCATTTGTCAAGCATGTCAAGTGCAAGCATTGTCAGACACCGGCAAAACCTTGAAGTACATGGCAGTGCCAAGTGAGATTCTCGCAGGACGGCCGTTGGCACTGCAATTGCATTTGGTAGGCAAGCTCAATGCAACAGCAGTGCTCTGCTTACAGCGCCGTTGAGTGTCAGACAAGCGGACTACAAAGTCATTCAAGGAATGGCATCACCACTGCTCCTCTGAATTGCATGAAATGGCATTTCATCAACTGAAATGTCACTGCGGTCTTTCCTACCTCGCACAGGGTGAAGGCAATACGAGTACACAGAAAATAAAGATGGCCACACACGACGCCAATGACTTGACTTCAGCATAGTTGTGATCATATGTACTGCAACCCTGTAGCGCACATACTAAGCTTTCATGTTGTAGCAAGACCGCAGATCTTCCAACAATCTCAGGATGGACTCAGAGGACACTGTGCCCACAACTTAATAGGACAACTTAATGCACTGCTAAATGAAGTTTCCTCCTTAGATATGCACGGCAGACACACTGACTGCTGGCGCAGAAGGTGCTGTTTCCGCCACTGTCGCTGTTGCACCGAAAAGTGACTGCGAGATCACGGCGACACGCAAAGCAAATACCATACCTGCCTCTTCTGGCTGACAAGCTTCTCCGCCATTGTATGCTGCAGCGTGAATGTTGAAAGCACCTCGTTTGGTACTTGTAGCAGCAGCAGCAGCAGCACATGCTTTTTATCACCGCCCCGTCCAACTTGGTACCGTTTTCAACTTGGTCGCTCTGTCCAACTTTATCACTTCAAGGAAGCTGCCTCAGTGATGTGCTGAACGCGAGCCGCATATGACTGCACGTAGTCGCGACGGTGAGACATGGAGAACAACTGTCACTTAGGGAATCCAAGGATGAGAAAAACATGATCGATCTCGTGGCGGATTTCTTCAAGTTGATGTTGATGTTACGAAGGTGTGTGCCTCGCCCTTGCCGTGTCCGCCGTTTGGCTACATCAGCGTGCGAACATCCGGGCCTGGTGACGTCGTATAAGAAAAGTGAACCTCCAACTAGGCTGATGCCTGCAGACGTCCTGATCTGAGATCTGCATTTTGCAGGAA